ACAGTAACAATTAAAAAATAATACGTAGATTCTCGCATAAGTTATGAGGATATTAATAATGAACAGATAAATACCACCAACTAGACGCTGCATAAGTTAGGTCGAGCATATTTTTTTTATGTGGATAACAGAGTGATACATAGTTATGCAGTTATTACTTTTACTTACACGACCAACAAATATTGTATATGCAGAAGTTTATGCTGAGATTTTTATATTTTCTAATGAGTCCAACCAAATGATCCGTAGTAGAAACAATCTTTTAAAGTAAATGCATTATAACGAGGTTTTTGAGAAACCAAGAATGGACATAATGGACTATACAACGGCCAGAATAGACCGGATCAATTATAGCAAGTGTTGTGCCATCCACAATCAGAATAAACATCTTATCCACCTGTTGGGGAACTTTGGAACCCTCCAGGCAGGTTTTATCAATGGTATCCTGATTCTCAAGACTCTCTGTTAAAGTACTGCTCCGCATCTCATATTGGGAAAGGTAAAAACCCATCATCTTAACAGAAAAACATCTAAGATACAGTTTAAGTACTCAACTGTAAAATCTCTGGATGGAAGTCCCTCCATTTTGTCCCAGAATCTAAGAAACTGTGAGTTTTTATTGGTCTCCAGATTATAGTAAATGTTAACCAAATCTTAAGATTAAATAGTGGTTGTTAAAGAAACAAAATGTAAAAAAGATAACTTATCACATCTCTTATCCATTAATTTGGGCCCGCATACATTCATTATGTAAACATCAAGACCTGCCGTGAGCTTGAATGAACCATCTGTTGAATTCAATTTGTTAAGGGAACTCAGAGGAATGAAAATCCCAGTGGACAATAGCGGCAACGGCGAGAAGGAGAAGCATGTGTGCAAAGTCGTTCATGCTCACTGCACACATATTTACAAAATCAAAGAAACCAGATGGGACATATCCTTAAGTTAGCTAGTATAACAGAGACAGGCCTTTCAATGTCAACAATTTTGAAGGAGACAGTGGGACGCACAAGGGAGATTCTTCGCAGAGACTCTTCCAGAGAATGCAAAACCCTCATTGGGCTTCCGGATAATATATGCAAACCAATGAATACAAACCGCCAGAGCGGCCTATTAGTTGAGTAATGCATGCAATCCTATGGCTACAACGACCATTCCAAGTTATGTACACATAGTTGTTGGGCAAAGAAATTATGTACAGGCATCAATACAATAGAAAAGATGATGTCAGCATCAAGAACATCAGTACACTATCTTTAAAAGTTGTGTGAGTGGGACTTCAAGAACAACTCCACAACATTCAATTCCTACGGCTGTTAAAACCAACTCCTCAACAACCCTTCTGAAATCATACAAGATAAAAAGGCTCAAAAACAAATTCTAGAACATCTTCAACACACAGTACGAAAAACAACAGAATTTTTTGGAGAAAGAAAGTTTTCTTGAATTTCTTTATATTTGCAATGTCAATATATTCTTGAAAATAACAATTTCATTATTTCCTGTAAATATGCCTTAAGAATACAGGTGTAACTTCAAAAAGATGGATAAGTTCTTGATTTTTCTTAAAAGGAATGCAGGCAAGAATTCAAAGAAAATCTGACATTGTCACAAAACAGTTAATGGAGGAAAGACGCAGATACATGGAGAAAATTAACTTAGGGTTTACAGTTTTGCTTCGTCGGCGACATACGCAGCGTAGTCTGGCGCCGGAGTACGCCGCCGGTAGCGTATGAGCATGACTTCCTGACTTACACAATGTCCAGGTAGCGTATTTTATAGATTTCTAACACGCGTTTTAAGAAATAAACGCGTAAAAAACAAAAGCTATTTTTTTCTTTTTTTGGTTTCCAAAAACTAGTTAATACATAATTTAAAAAATAAAAACTAATTTTTTCTTTTTTTTTGTTTCCAAAAACTAGTTAATACATAATTTAAAAACTTCTGTAAATTTTATTCTAAACAGATTTATTTATTTTAATTTTTTTAAAAAGTCTATTCCATTGATAATGTGAAATTCGTTATCATCCCATACACTTATTTAATTTGTGCATTTTTTATAGATCAATTTAAAATATAAAAATTTATGAGTCAAAATTTTTATTCATAAATATAAAATTATGAATTTATATTATTTAATAAATTTCTTAAATATAAAATTTAGCCAATAATATATATATTTCCTTTCTCTACAAAAAAAATTATATTTCAGCGGCCCATTTCAACCTTTCAACCATTTTTAACTTTTATATATATTACTTTACTTTACTAACTATATATAAGAGGCCAGGATAGCAATTATTCTTTTCCGGATATTTACTAAATGTTATGTAAAGGTATTATTGTACTTATTTGCTTCGTTGTTGAGCTTTTTTATTTATTGAACATAAAATAAAGTCCACCCACATTTCCCTTTTTGTTTTACCTTTGCGGGAAAATGTGGGATGATAATCATTGTCATTATTGAAAGGTAAAATATTACACTTCTCATAGTGTGTTTGGTAAGGAGGGAAAATGTTTTTCAATTTTTTTCATATTTAGTTGGGATAAAAGTTTTGAAAAATATTTTTTAAATTAACTTATTTTTTTCAAAATTAGGGAAAATGACTTTTCTTGAAAAATTAAGCAAAAATTAAGGAAAACATTTTCCAAAACTCTCCTCCAATTTCAAATTATATTTTTTTGGAAAAAAAAATCAATTTTAAAAAAATATTTTCAATTTTAAAATTTTATTTTTTCACCAGATTCCTGACCCCCCAAACTGGCTAGCCCCCACCCCCTCTCCAAAAAATTAATTTTACTTTTTAAAAATATTTTCAACTTTAAATTTTTATTTTTAAACTTCTAACCCCCCCCTCCCTCTCCTCCAAAAAAAAAATAATTTTGTTTTTTAAAAATACTATCAACTTCAAATTTTTATTTTTTCACTCCTCCCCCTTCCCCCCACCCCCATCCACTACCCCACCCCACCACCACCCCAAAAAAATAATAACTTTGATTTTAAAAAATATTTTCAATTTCATAAATTATTTTTTACTCTAATAAAAATAAAAGATATCTCTCAAAAACATTTTTCATTCATAAATTAAACACTAAAGAATAATTTTCGAAAAATATTTTCTACTCATCAACCAAACACGAGAAAATAAATCCAAAACCTACTTATTTTTCAGAAAAAACATTTTCCTCCATACCAAACACACCCATAGTTATTAGATATCGATATCTTAAAAGATATATTATATGGTCTATTATATTAGACATCCGTTTTAGTATTTTTAAAACTTTTAATAAATAAATTATTTAATAAAAAAAAAGAATGAAGAAAAAATTCTCAAAGTCATTTTATAGTTATGCTATAACAAATGTGCATTTGTGAATAATATATATTTGACTTTTAATTATTTCAAGCAAAAATTATCTATCTTATTTTTCACATTAAAGAATGAGTTATGTTTTGAATAGTTATTATCATATATATTTTTCAGTGATGACTACATTGATAATTAAATTAATGTAATAAAACTCTTCCACTCCTATCAAAAAAATAAAAAATAAAACTCTTTCACTTCTTTATATGTAATTATGTATGTATCTGAAAAAAATAAAACTCTTCCACTCTTTAATTATTTTAAGTAAAAATTATCTGTCTTATTTTTTTTTACGTTAAAGGAGTTGTTTTTGAATAATTATCATCATATATTAATTTTTTTAGTGATTATTAGATTAATGCTATAAAAACTCTTCCACTCTGCTACATGTATTAGGGACTAACATGTATACAAGTCATACAACTATCGCTTTACCTTTCTACAACCTACACTTCATGTACTCTAAAAAAAATTAATACTTTACTACTCTATGATAAATTTTATATTATAATGTAGATAAATACACATCAAATTACTAATGACATCATGACTTTTTTTATAAATATACATTTTAGTATATGACTTTATTTAAGTTTGAGAATATCTTTCTAGCAAATTTTTGAATAGCCAACATCAAGACCTTGACTTAATTGGTATTGTTTTATTTATACACTTTCTATTGAAAATTAATCAATTAAGGCCATCAATTGTTTGAAAAATACATTCAATTTCGCAAAAATCGCGGGTAAGGATACTAGTGAAAAGAAGAATAGAGACTAGAACATCCATAACTATGTTGCTTCATACCATTTCTACTCTTAAATTAACAGCTCATTAAAATTATCATCAAGACCGAATACCTACTATCAAATTTATATGTTGATCATCTAAGAATACCTCTAGAGATTATAAAATTATGCATAATAAAATCAAATTAACACCAAAATATTATACCACGGATAACCATTAGAAAGTAAAAAATAAATAAATAGAAATTTTGGAGTTGCATAATTCGAATTAAAGCACCACAAAAATGAGCAAGTTTTAACTATAATATTTAAAGTTTCAAACTTAACAATATTCAACATATTTACCCTCAATTATTTCTTGAAACCTCTAACATTCATCAATTTCGAAAACAATAATATTTATCAATAAAACTAGGAAAGGTAAGACCATCAGTGTTTCTTTTTCTAGAAAGAAGCGCAATCCTTTTAGGCTCCTAATGAAAAGCGTAATAACTTCTAGATTTTGCTATAGCTTTTAATAAAACAAATAGCATCTAAGCCCGCAAAACTTCCAAAAACACTTCAACTTAAAGATAACATATGAAGGGAAAAACAAATATAAAAGCACCATCATTTGAAATTTCATCTCCTCCAATTCTTGTATAATAAAAAGAAAATTGAGAGGAAGGGAGTAATGTAAAAATAGGGGGTAGTTAAGTGCGTTGCAGATAAATTTTTCATAGACCACGACACGGCATTTAAGCAAGAATATAAGTAAGAGAAAGATTAAAAATAAATTAAATGAAGGCATGGAATATGAAAGCTAGTTAGTGTAAATGCATTAACCTGTTGAAGAAACTCTAACAGATAGACTAACGCCAATATAAACAGAACATCAGAGCCTCTCATAACTTACATATGATAAATGAAGAAGAAATACAGAGTATAATGACCAGAGATTTTCACAAAGACATGGCATTGAAGTCAATAGCTTCCTATCCAACTCATAGCAAAATGTCTACAAAATCAGACAATGTAACCAGTGAAACAAATTTCAGTAATCCTAAAAAGTGCAAACGTTCTCAAGTTTAATCTAGAGCATGGTCGTCGAATATTAAGAGGAACCAAACGCAGTCCTCCACTTACATGTGCTCCAACTTCCTCCACTCATCAAAGAAAATCATCATTAATATATATTTCACTCTTTTAATTCTTCAAAGAACAGAAAAGATACTAACACAGTATCTCTAACCTGAAGGAGGTAAGTTGATACCTTTTGAAACAAAGAGTACATAAAAAAGTATCCTCGAAAGCTCTTGAGTCTCTACTCTCTAGAATAATACAAAGATCAACAGTGTCAAAGCTGCATTTCCAACCTCCATAGCTGAAGAATGAAGATCAACCTAAATCTTTTGGTAGGATTCTACTTTTCCTGAATAACAGAAAATTTTCATTTGAATTAAACGACTGAGATTGACCTGCAAATTTCAAACTCCTGAAAATATGAGCGACCCCTCTACCCTGACCCTACTTAAAAATCATAGTACAGCTGAATGTCACTATCTCAGAAAGATAGCAAGGCTCCCAAGATGATTGATGCAGCAAATGTCTAGATTTACAAAAATTGAAGTAGATTCGTAAAAAAAAAAAACTGCAAATTTCATCTTAATGGAAGCAGAAATAATTGGGTAAGCAAAAAACAGGAGACTAAGTCATAAATGCCAACAAAAATCACAGCTATGTTCCACAGAGTTCTTAGAAGGCCGAAAAGTCAAATCATATAAAACTTATCTTGGGCAGTTTAGGTTCAACAAGAACAGTGAATATATCTGAGATCTACTTTGCTGCTCAATGTCAGAAACACTGTCAGAACTCGTAGCTATGTTATTAAGTAATTTTTGTATTGATTCTTAAGAAACAAATCTTGAATTGAAACCTGCATTACGAAGGTCAAGGAAAACAAACACACCATAAAAGGAAAGCATCCAATTTAGTAAATGTTAACCAAAGATTAGTTTCCCGTTTTTCTTTGTCAGGATATACTGAAATACTGAAGGACCTGCAAGTTAAACAGTGGTTTTTAAAGAAACAAATTGTAGAAAAGATAACTTATCACGTCTCTTTATCCTGAAAGCTTGCATTCAATTTATTAAGGGAGCTCGATGAATCCCAACCATTAGACAACAGCGGCAAAGAGAAGAAAAAGCACGTGTGCAAAGGCAGGTCATCCTCACTGCAAGCAAATGAACAAAATCTAAGAAACCAAACAGGAAATATCCTTGAGTTAGCCGGTGTATCAACGGTGAACGGCGAACCCCTTTCAATATCAATAATTTTGAAGGAGACACTGGGATGTGCAAGGGAGATTCTTTGTTGAGACTCTTCCGGGAAATGAAAGACCCGATTTGGACTTCAACAATATATAATCAAACTAAAAGATCAATCAGATGAGTACGGCTTTAGAAGTAAACTAGACAGGAAATATCCTCAGAGGAAATCCTACTCCACGAACTTAACATGGAAATTTTCTCATGCAGAGCACCCAAGTTGACAAGAGGGACAGTAATTAGTCACCCGTGAGCACACTAACAAAAGAAAAGATGTCATTAATAATACGCAATGTTCTCCTAAACATACCATCAAATGCAGTTCCAACGCAGATATTTCCTTAAATGCAATTTTCATCTCACTTGAAAACACAATGGAATCTGCTTCAACTCCTCAACAATGAGGAACATTCAGAAGACAACAATGCATCAGCATACATAATTGCACCTACGAAAATATATAAATAAATGGAATGACAATATCAGGAATCAATCCATCAATTATGCTTCACCAAAATTAGTTAGCCTGACATATTGATCTTCATTCCTCTGTATCTGTTCCACTCTATCCATTTAGGAGTTATTGTTCCAACACAAATGAACACAAAGCGAACAGGAATAAAGAAAATTATCTTAAATCACTTTTGGTTTTAATTCCCTGTTCTTTTTGTTTATCATATGTAGGGGTGGGGATGGAGGCGAGAGCATCAAGGTAGCTCCAGATTCATATATTAAAAAGTAACTTATTCCTGCAAACCTTGTTTTTTCAAGACCTGATTCGCTGACAGGGTACTGTTTATGATCCATCTGCATCAGCAAGCTGTCGGTTGCAAAGACATTAACATGACATGGCACTTGAATAGGTTTATACAATCCTAATGGAATAGAAATAGGTTTATATAATCCTATTAGAATAGGAATATGTTTATACAATCCAATTAGAATAGGAATATGTTTATACAATCCTATTAGAATAGGAATATGTTTATACAATCCCATTAGAATAGGAATAGAAATACTAATTAATATCCTGCTTGGTAAAGGATTGTATTTTAGGGTCTATAAAAAGGGTCTGAATGTAATAATGTAGACATAATAACAATTCAATAATATTCTTTTCCTATATTTCTCACATGGTATGAGAGCCTCTATGATCTTCGTAGAAAATCAAAGAGCTTCCGCGGCCGGCGGGCGGCTATTATTCATATATGCCGCCCGTCCAGCCAATGATTATGTTAGAAAAAGTTGGGTCATTGTGAATCTTTCTGGTGACTATTTTCTCATAGCTAATTTGTGTAGCACCGCGCCATCACTCCGGTGACTACTAATTTTATGTAGCAAATGTGCCATCATTCTGGTGACTACTTTTTCATAATTAATTTGTGTAGCAACGTGTCATCATTCTGATAACTACTTTTTTATATTTAATTTGTGTAGCACCGTCCTATCATTCCGGTGAATAAGTTTTCATATTAAATTTTTGTCTAACCATGACATCCTTCTGGTGACTCTTTCTTTTGCATGTCTTATCTGTGTAGCACCGTGCATCTATCTGAATTACTTTTCATATTTACTTTGTGTTGTACCGTGAATCTTTTTCCGAACTACTTTCTCATATTTGAGTTGCATAGCACCGTGTGTCTTTTCGGTGACTCCTCAGATTTGATTTGCGTAGTCCCATTCGTCTTTCCAGTGACTCTTCAAATTTGATTTGCGTAGATATGAACCATCATTCCAGTCCTACCAACATAATTTCTCTTTTTCATTACTCACATAATTTCTCTTTTTCAGTAGTGTTGTGCCACATTCCGACCCTACCCATATTATTTCTCTTTTTCAATGGGATCGTTCCATCAATTCGAACTATCCTATATAATTTCTATTTTCTAGTTGGGTCATGACATCATTCCGACCCTACCCATATAATTTTGTTTCTTACATTGTGACCACTTTTAGACACCAAATCTCATACTCCGGCATATGAGCATGTTTCGGCCAATTTTTTTGGTTGACTTGTTTAATATCAACCCATTTATTGATTACAACATGATCCATATACTTTATACTAGGTTTTGAGCACTTTGTTGCACGGGGGAGTTTAGTAGTCTTATATGTCGATTATGTGAGGCATTCTATGGTTTGAAGCAGTCTTTGCAGGTGTGGTTCAACACTGAAATTTTATCTGTCTTTACTAACATTATGCATCAAATCCAGTATTTAATGAGAAGACAAGCACATCTCACATTGAGATTGACTGTCAATTTTGTGAAGTCGACTGATCAACTTGTGGATATCTCATCAGGCCTCTCATCGGTCCTCGTGTTAATTACATTTGTAACAAGCTAGGTACATGAATTGCTGAGGGGGAGTGTTAGAATAGGAATAGGTTTATACAATCATATTGGAATAGAAATAGATTTATACAATCGTATTAGAATAGGAATATGTTTATACAATCCTATTAGAAAAGGAATAGGAATACTAAATAGTATCCTACTAGGTAAAGGATTGTATTCTTGGGTCTATAAAAAGGTTCTCAAAGTAATAATGTAGACACAACAACAATTCAATAATATTTTTTCCCTATATAAGAGTTTTAAGTCTCCCCCTCACAAGCCAAGCAGCACAAGGAAAAGAAATTAGATGATCATAAACGTACTGAATCTTGCTCAAAATCAAGATAGGTTGTTGTCCACTTTTGTCCAGATAGGACCTAATAATTCACGAAGTTACACACACTACATTGAAATGACACATCAATGAGTTATTAGGCAATCATTACCTACTCAAGCAGTTCTGCAAAACGAATGAATTCACTCATCTGCAGCATTCTGTACAACATGACAATTAGTGTAATGTTCAAAGATAATAATCATTGACTATGTAAAAAGGGACTCACGTTCATTTTGTCATGGGCCTCAGTTACTACATAAGAATATACACTCCCAGACGATCACAATGTGATGGAAGAAAAGATAAAGCACCCTATGACACTCTCCATTTCTTCAGAAATATCACAAAATTGCAATAAAGAAGAGAAAGACATTATTTGGTTAAAGTATTCGTCATGCAGGGAATGTTGATGCGGTGATAATAATGTAAAAACTGCTATGTGATAAATAATAATGTAGGGATCCTAACGCGGGGAATAATAATCGAGTTACGCTATGCAGGGACTATCTACTATAAAGAGATTTTTGCCTGTAAATACTCATCCGTTACGGGAATTCGAACCTTAAGAGACAATGCGCCACAAATGACACTTGAAAGGCTTAAACCCTCAAAAATCCTTCTTGCTTTCAACAAGATGCAGCACATAACTGATATAAACTGTTATTGATACCTCAGAATGGAGCAAGAAACCTGAGAAGAAGTGCTCGTCAGGAGTTGTTTTCCACATGTAGACAGGCATATATCATTAAGAGGGAGGAATATGAATGTTGAAGAGAATAAGCAATAAAGTGTCGTAAAAGGTTTGAGAATGTAAGTGAGCAACTGATCCTGTATTAACAACTACAACACCTTTCACTTCTAGAACTGATTTGCAAATGGTTTACATGTACTTAACTTCTTGAGTGTATAATATGACAAAGACAAGTATTAGAGAATGTTACCGCAAGAAGTGTGACAGATGTTGTCAGCTTGTGAATCAGAATCAAGTCCTGCTTTAACCAAACCAAAACATATTAACTTCATGCTCAGAGTTAGACTTCACAATAGCAAACTCAGGATATGGGGCAGAGGAGACAGTCTCAACTAAAAGATGGCAGGCCAGAACCATATTTTTCAGCAATCTGTTTAAAGAAATCCATAAGATGATCGTATCAGGCTTCTGTGCAAAGAACAGCTCCACATAAATGCTTTCCTTCTCACATGCATCACATTTGAATCTTATGAAGTTCAAGAGACTCCCCAAAATGAGGTATCCTCTGTTGATCTGCCAGCTACAATTGTTTAAGACTCCTCTAATCCAGAACCTAACAGGAGTCTGATTTATAACTGGATCTAGCTGAAGCACTGAATTTGTTATCCAGTAAATCATCCTCTGTAGGTAAAGCATTAGATGTAAGGGGGTGCGCAGAGTTTGTGGATTTTCGTTCTCCAAACAATGTGGATTCTAACACACTGCAGAAGTTATCAAAAACCAGAGTAAAAACTTGTTAGAGCCACTTCTAAGTAATCCAGATATAGATACTACTCCTGATTTATCAACTCAATGTCAACGAGACAGCATACCATAAGATTTCTAAAATTGCAGGTAGCTTTGCACAGAATTACCTGTTATACCAAGATTTTGTCTACAATCATCAATTCCAAGGTACAAACACTTGTCAACCTGTTAACAGTGCCAAGAAAAGAGACCAAGTTAGTAGACTTATGGGTTTATATCTATCTTAATGGATACTACCAACTAAAACTCAAAAGAACTTTACCTTCAAATGCCGTCCTGCAAACAGTGCCAAGAACAAAGACCAAGTTAGTAGGTTTATACCTATCCTAATGGATACTACCAACTAAAACACAAAAAAACTTTACCTTCAAAACCTTACGTCCATTCAGCCTCCCATGAGTTTAAGAAACAACTACCAAATTTAGAATCTTTGACTTGAAAATACGTTCTTCTTGATCCAAGACGCATGCTACCACCCATATGCGCTTTTGAACCCTGTGAACATGGTCTACAGATAATAGTAAATGTTAACCAAATCTGAACTTCTTATCCACCAGTTGGAGAACTTTGGCACCGTCTAGGCAGGTTTTATCAATGGTAGACTCTCTGTTCCAGTACCACTCTGCATCTCATATTGGAAAAGGTAAAAATCCATCATTTTAGCAGAATAGAGAAGAAGTTACAAAAACATCTGAGATATAGTTTAACTATTCAACTGTAATCTATGGATGGAGGTCCCTCCATTTTGTCCAAAAATCCAAGAAACCTTGACTTTTTGTTGGTGCAAATTCTGAAAAGTTGAATAAAAAATGTCAAGCATGACAGTTCTATTACAAGATCACAACATAAGCAAGATGGAATATGAAAGAGACCCTGGAATAGGAGACTTAGAAAGACACATCATAATCTCTAATGCTTTCATGACTAATAAGAATGCAGTCAAGGTAATCTTGAAAAGTGGGTAAAACAAATGAATCTAATTAACTGAAAGAGAGAACACATCAGGTCGTGTGAGTTACTAACATATTTGTTTGAGATAATATCAGAAAGAAACCCAACCCTCCCAAGAAATTTGATAACATTAGTACATTACCTTACAGGAGAGAATACACTGTCACCACAACTTGGGGTGGAAGATTGATCACATTGATGGGATGACTGCTGTGGAAGCTCAGAGCAGATAGCTTCTGCAGAATGATGCAATCTCCTTACAGTTCTAGTTTCTGAACGATGGACAAGAACATTAATTAAATGTACACATTTCCTGTCATCTTTGATTATTTAACACAAACAAGAACTAACAGACAAATTACCTGGCATGAGTGGTACATCATAAACTTCTTCTTGCCTTAATATTTTTATTTCCTGCTGCTTTTCTTGTAGACTCACTTGTGGCAAAATGGCAGGGCAGCTGAATGACTTCTTATACACTTCTTACTTCTAAGCTCATCTGTCTTACCTCGATTTCTAGCATCAATCCATTTATACGAGTCCGCATCCACACTAGAGGAGATCATAGCTCTTGGTATCAAATAATTCTTAAGATTTTTTTGATGATCCATCTCCTGAGATTTTTTTTATCATGAGAATGTACATGTAACAGATCATCTCAATCATAACACAACTCAGAAGCACCTGAACGATAAACATCTCATGGATCCAGTCCTTCTATACTGCGCATATCCTCTTTAGAACAAGCATAAAAATTTCACCATTATAGTTACCAGTTTCCAAAAAAAAATAAAAATTTACCACTATCAAAAGACGGTCCATCATGTACCAGCCTTTTGTGCAAAGAACAGCTCTGCACAAATTGTTTCCTTCTCTTATGCATCACATTTGAACTGTCATCAAGTTCAAGACACTTCCTAAAGGGGACAGTACTTTGTTGATCCGGCAGCTACAATTGTCTCAGACTCATCCTTCAACCTAACAGGAAGTCTGATTTATAGCTGAAGCATTGAATTTATTAACCAGAAAGCTGCTATCCAATAAATTATCCTCTGTAGGTAAAACATTAGATTGAAGGGGTTGCCGCAGACTTCTGAATTTCCAGTTTACACCAACTGTGCGATAAGCAAGAGACCGACTTGAACTTTCTATCTGACTGAGGAATCCGGACTCAGGGATCACACTTTTCAGGAGCACTTCCTCACAAAATATTCTGCAAAGATCCAATCTCTCTCCTGACAGTGCACAGTCCAATCAGTTTCTTTGGCTGCATGGAAGGAGATCCAGTGTAGCTCAGGTATATCTCTTAATTCACAGGTATATCTGCAAAGAGGAGCAGGGAATGGAATAGCAACAGATGAGGAGGATACTTCAATAACTATATTCTTATCTAGGTTTTCCAAAAGTAGCTTGAGAGAAAAGAAAGTGATAAATGTTGATACTGCAATTGCTCTCACCGGCAGAATTACTTTAAGTCTAGAGAATCGCGACTGTATACTCAATAAAGAGGAGAACCACACCTTACCCACCTGACCTTTTTTTTTTTCACATAGCGATAAGTCAAACCACTCCTCTCTTAACCTACATATGGTACACAAAGTAGAAATTCCGAATAAGTGGTGACCAGCACTTTTAACAAATAACATGGCATTGAAGTCAATAGCTTCCTATCCGGTACCTAGCAAAATGTCTACAGAATCAGACAATGTAATCAGTTGAAACAAAATTCAGTAACCCTAAAAAGTGCAGAATTCTCAAATTTGATCTAGTGCATGGTCTGCAGTCGAATAATGCCAAAGATCAACAGTGTAAGCATATTTGATAGGTCAAAGCTGCGTTTGCAACCTCCAGAGCCGATGAATGAAGATCAACCTAAATTTTTAGGTAGGGCTTTATTTTTTCTGAAAAACATAAATTTTTCTTGTGAACAAATTTCAACTCAACTTCAGCTAGAACAAATAACCAAAACATCTAGTGATCAACATACCAGTTTTCCCAGTTACAAGTAAAGCCATAAAATAAAAAATATAAGAACATTTGTAAAAAGACACTAATGAACACAAACCGCCTATCAGTTGAGTAATGCATGCAATCCTATGACTACAACGACCATTCCGAACATCATAGAAAATCAGCATCAGCACAATAGAAAAGATGCTGTCAGCATCAAGAACATCAATACACTATCTTTAAAAGTTGTGTTGAGTATAGACTTCACAACATTCAATTCCTAGGTGGTACATGCGGCTGTTGGAAACCAACTCGTCAACAACTCTTCTGATAAACAGCCTCAGGCATTTTCTTGAATTTCTTGATATTTGCAATGTCAATATATTCTTGAAAATGACAATTTCATTATTTCCTGAAAATATGCATTAAGAATAACTTCAAAAAGATCCATGAGTTCTTGATTTTTTCTTAAAAAGAATGCAGGCAAGAATTCAAAGAAAATCTGACATTGTCACAAAACAGATACATGGAGAAAATTAACTTAGGGCTCAGAGTTTTGATTCGTACTCTAAGGCGGCGGCATACTCTGGCGCCGGAGTACGCCGCCGGTAGTCGGATGAAGTTTCGGCTTTCAGTTGAGCATGAATGCCCAGGTACCGTATTTTATAGCTTTCTAACACGCGTTTTTTAAGAAATAAGCGCGTAAAAAGAAAGTAATTTTTTTCTTTTTTTGGTTTCCAAAAACCTAGTTAATACATAATTTATACTTTAAACTTTCGTAAATTTTTATTCTAAACATATTTATTTTAATAAAAAAAAAGTCTATTCCATTGATAATATAAAACTTATTTAACTTGAACAATTTTTATAGATTGATTTAAAATATAAAATTTATGATTCAAAATTTAATCTATAAATATAGAATTATTAATTTATATTATTTAATAAAATTTTTAAATATAAAATTTAGCCAAAAGTATATATATTTCCTTCCCCCTAGCCTAAAAACTTTATTTTGCGAATTTGTATATATTTTTAATCATCATAAAATATAATATGTGCACCTAAATAGTTTGTAAAGAAAAGACGGTAGAAGAACATACAGACCACAACAGAGAGCAAAAGGCAGGCAGGCAGTCAGATCAACAAGAAGAGATCAAGGAAAAACAAAAGCCTACATTGGCCTCAGGTTCAGAAGGATGGGAAGTTGTACTAAATGGGCTTTAACATCTTTTAACGCTTTTCCAGAACAACAAGAACCGAAAGAGGTGTTATGAAAATGGAACGAATGCATTGCCTGTTAAGGCTTCTTCAAGCAATGATTGGGATTTGGAAAAAGTCAGTACAACCCATACCTAATTCTGCTGCTAACAACACTAACTACAACACTTCCACATATTGCTATCTTTTAATGCCTTCCAAGAAAGTGTTATCAAGATATGGTGAAACTGTTGAGTAATGTATGCTATCCTATAGGACTCATTCAAACATCACAGTTGTCAGGCAAAGGAAATTATGAACAGAAGTATCCAGTAAAACAGAAAAGATGATGGCAGATCAACATTTTGCCAAAAACAGACCACCATTTCCTTTTCCCATAACCACCAGTCCATCTCGTGAAACTGCAGATCCTTCAAAAAAAAAGAGTACAACTTCAGATGATCCTTGAGAAGAAAGTGCAAAGTCAGATGATTCTGCAAAAGAAAGTACAAATTTAGATGATCATTCAAGAGAAAGTTAGATCATCCTTCAAAAGAAAGTACAACTACAGATGATCTTTCAAAAGAAGGGTAAGACTTCAAATGATCCTTCAAAAGAAAGTACAACTTCAGACGATGAACTAAATAATAAATTGAGCAGAACTTTCCACACATCAAATGTATATAGATCAATGTCAAAGAAACTAATACTTACCATTGTCATCAAATGCCTATACCAGGAGATCCCAGAGGCTTGCTCGGAAAGGCTGCTATACCTTTTCACATAACTCTACTCTAGTCGACGCTAGACTCACATTCTTAAATCCAAATGTTTAGTCTACTTATATGCGCTTTTGAACCCTGTGGACATGGTCTACAGATTAATATAGCCGCTACTAAAATGAAACCTAACACACATGAAGAGCATGAGGAAAATTCATGATAAAAGGGAAGTATCATAACTTAATTTCCGGCATAAAAATTACACAAGGATTGTGAGTGTTGGTATCAAACTCTGTACAGTTCGCATCTTGCAATCCAAGAATGGATCTAGCAAACTCAATCACAGCAATTGCATGCCTAGACATATGCCCGGGTAAGGAATCCTGTTTTCGGGGCATATTTGGCAACAAGTATTTACCCTACACACGTCTATCACCAAAATCCGTCTGGAAATAAAACAGCAGCCTCCCCCTATTAACAGATGACTCGGTCAAACATCACAAGAGTACATAAGATTAAGTAGGGGTACTAAAGAGTAAGCTTCGCTATCATATAAAGTCGAATTTCCTTTATACAAAGGTCAATGAAAACAAAAACACTGTGCAAAACAAAGATAACGCATTAGTAAATTGTCCACCAAATATAAGTCTTCTGTTTTCTTTTGACATGAAAACATACTAAATAAGTGGACGTAGAAATACTGAACGACCTGCAAATTCAAACAGGTTGTTAACATTAGGACCTGAAATGTATCCTGAGAGCTTGAATGAACCATCACTTGGATTCAATTTGTTAAGGGAACTCAGAGGAATGCCAAAACCCGTTGGACAATAGAGGCATCAGAGAAGGAGAAGCACGTGTGCAAAGCATGTCATCCTCGCTGCACACAAACTTACAAAATCGAAGGAACTGGAAAGAAATATCCTTAAGTTAGCTGGTATAACAGAGACTAACTTTTCAATATCAACAATTTAGATGGAGATACTGGGAAGCACAAGGGAAATTCTTAGCAAAGACTATTTCAGAGAATGCAAGACCATCACTGGCTTGCAGATTATATATGGAAACAAAAAGATCAATCAGGACAATGTAGAGATTTAGGAGTAAAGTAAGTAAATCAATATGTTTGGATTGTGAGAAAACTAGAAGTACTTGGAGTGCATTTGCTTCCTTCAAACTGATAGGTAGTAAAATACATCACGAACAATGACTACAAAGAGGAAAATCCCGAGAAATTACCTTATTAGCAAGCAGTAAACGACACTTGTATCAGGTAGGCTTATACAAAATTACCTACTCTACCAACATTTTGTCTACAATCATCAATTCCAAGGAATTAATGCTTGCCCTCCATTAAACATTGGCAAGAACAAAGACCAAGTAACTAGTTTTACACCTATCATAATGGATCCTACAACCTAAAACTCAAAAGAACTTCACCTGAAAAACTTACAATATCCATTTAGCTTCCAACAAAGAAACGGCAGCAATAGAGCTCAGAGCCTCTTATTTAGAGCCCAAACTTGTTGGAAAAACATGCAATTAATCTTAATGGCTGTATTTTGATGTAGCTGGTGTAAAGCAAGCATACAAAACTACAGTTAAAATGGCCAGACAGCATACCAGTTTTCCTAATTACAAGTAAAACCACAAATTATATTGAAAGGCACTAATGAACAAAAACCGCCACATAGCCTATCAGTTGAGTAATGCATGCAGTCCTATAGACTACAATAACCATTCCAAATTATGAACATCATAATTGTTGGGCAAAAGAAATTATGTACTACTTCAAATGATGAACTAATATAATATATTGAGTAGAACTTTCTGCAGATCAAATGCATTAGATCAATGTCAAAGAAACTAATACTTACCATTGTCATCAACCTTATAACATAGCAGGTCCTAATGCCTATATCGGGATATCCCAGAGGATCGCTCGGAAAGGCTGCTATACCATACCCTTTCACTTATAACATAGTAGTCCGTCTGGCTGCTCTAGCTGAAATCATTTATTAGTCCAGCAAGAAACTAAAAAAGAGAGATGTTCCTAAGGCGGAATATAAGCAAACTGTGCACGCCTTAGAGGAGAGATGTTGCAATTTAACATATACCTGGTGGAAACTGGGTCAGGTTCAAACTTGGAGTACACTACTTATAAAAATAACAAACATAAAAAAGAACAGTCTTACAAGGAAGTAAATATCATGGAAAAAAAGACACAGTGTTGTGATATAAGAATATTCATTTGGAGAAAAAAAATATACTTATGATACTAGAATGGAGCATCATACTAGGAGCAGGAGGAGAAAGGTATATCAATTTTTATATATAGCATATTCCCTTGTAATCAGAAGTAGCAAACAAAGGAACATAAGAATTCATTGAAAAGTCTCACTGATGTCTTTTGTGAAACTATTCTAAGCGATTATACTTGCATAAAAGCACAACTTGCCATAACTATTGATCCTCAAAACATTAACAAAATCAGAAAACATATAATTTCCCACAATATATATATATATATATATATATATATATATATATATATATACACACACACAAGTACATAACAAACAAAAACTGAGGTAAACATACAATATGTGCACCTAAATAATTTGTATAGAAAAGACGGTAGAAGAGCACTAATTACTACTTACAAAGGCAAGAACATACAGACCACAACAGAGAGCAAAAGGCAACAAGAAGAGATCAAGGAGAAACAAAAGCCTACACTGGCCTCAGGTTCATTGCCTGTTAAGGCTTCTTCAAGCAATGATTTGGAAAAAGTCAGTACAACCCATACCTAATTCTGCTGCTAACAACACTAACTACAACACTTCCACATTGTCATCGTCATTGCTATCTTTTAATGCCTTCCAAGAAAGTCAAGAACCAGAACAGTATCAAGATATGGTGAAACTGTTGAGTAATGTATGCAATCCTATAGGACTACAACAATGAACAATCATTCAAACATCACAGTTGTCAGGCAAAAGGAAATTATGAACAGCAGTATCAGTTAAATAGAAAAGATGATGGCAGATCAACATTTTGCCAAAAACAGACCACCATTTCCTTATCCCATAACATCTCGTGAAACTGCAGATCCTTCAAAAGAAAGTACAACTTCAGATGATCCTTCAGAAGAAAGTGCAAAGTCAGATGATTCTGCAAAAGAAAGTACAAATTTAGATGATCATTCAAGAGAAAGTTAGATCATCCTTCAAAAGAAAGTACAACTTCAGATGATCTTTCAAAAGAAGGGTAAGACTTCAAATGATCCTTCAAAAGAAAGTACAACTTCCTCACTGCACACAAACTTACAAAATCGAAGGAACCAGAAGGAAATATTCTGTGGTATAACAGAGAATGACCAGTAAACATTGGCACCGACAAAGATCAAGTAAGTAGTTCTACTCCTAAGTCCTATCCTAATGAATCCTACACCCTAAAACTCAAAAGAACTTTACCTAAAAAACTTAATGGCTGGTGTAAAGCAAGCATACGAAACTACAGTTAATTGGCCAGACAACATACCAGTTTTCCAAATTACAAGTAAAACCACAAAATTATATTGAAATACACCAATGAACACAAACCGCCAAACAGCATATCAAGTGAGTAATGCATGCAATCCTATAGACTACAACAATCAATCCAGTTTATGAACATCATAATTGTTGGGCAAAAGAAATTATGTACAGCAGCATGAATACAATAGGAAAGATGACGTCAGCATCAAGAATATCTTTCCATTCAATTCCTCAACAACCCTTGTGAAAATTTACTCTCAAAACAAAACAGCCTCAGGCATTTTCTTAAAAAAAGTAAAAACAAATTCTTGAACATCTTCAACATACACTACAAAAATAACAACAGAAATTTTTGGAAAAAGAAAAGATTTCTTGAACTTCAAAAAACAACAAGTTCTTGATTTTTTTCTTAAAAAGCAAATCTGACATTGTAACATAACAGTTAATGGATGGAAGAAGCTATAGATGCAAGAAAATCATTTTAGGGTTTATGGTTTTGATTCGTCACCGGTAGTGTACCGGTGGCATACTCTGCGCCGGCGTATGTAGCGTCGTTCTTCAGTTCTAAATTGCGTCTGTAGCGTCTACTTAAAGCTTTCTAAGACACGCTTTGAGAAAATAAAAGGATGCGGAAAAAAAACATGAAAACTACTCTAATTAATAATTTATTTATTATTGAGAAAATGGTAAAATATGTTCCTAAACTATTCAAAAAGATTTATATATTGACCAACAAAGAATATCTTTATATAAGATTCTTTGCGATAAAATCAAATCAACACCAAACGTTCATGCAATAAATGAAAGTATTAGAAAGTAAAACTAAATAATAGAAATTATGGGGCTGTATAACATAACAATTGTTCATCATTGAACGAATTAAGGCACCACAAAAATGAGCAAGTTTTTTTTTAAAAAAATACACTCAAGATGCGACAAATATCGACATGAAATTCAAATGTCTCAAACTTAAAGATGTTAATTATGAGGAAGTTTATGCTAAGATTTATACTATTTATGAAGAAGTTTATGCTAAGATTTATATTTTCTAATGAGTTCAACCAAACAATCTCTTAGAGAAACAATCTTTTAAAATAAATGCATAATAATAAAAAATTTGAGAAACCAAGAACAGACATAATGGACTATACAAAGGCCAGAATAGACCTGATCAATTATACCAAGAACTTTTGCACCCTCTAGGCCAGGTTTTATCAATGGTATCCTGATTCTTAAGACTCTCCGTTCAAGTACCGTTCTGCATCTCATATTGGAAAAGGTAACAATCCATCATTTTAGCAGAACAGAGAAGATGCAAAAACATCTGAGATATAGTTAAAAGTACTCAAACTGTAATCTCTGGATGGAAGTCCATCCATTTTGTCCCAGAATCTAAGAAACCATGACTTTTTGTAGGTGCAAATTCTGAAAATTTGAATAAAAAATGTCATGCATGAGAGTTCTATTACGAGATCTGAACATAAGCAAAATGGAATATGAAAGAGACTGTGGCCTAGGAGACTTACACATCGTAATATCTAATCCTTCCATGATTAATAAGAATGCAGTCCAAAGAGAATCTTGAAAAGTGGGTGAAAGAAATGAAGCTAATTAACTGAAAGAGAACACATCAGGTCATGTGAATTACTAACATATTTGTTTGAGATAATGTCAGAAAGAAACCTAACCCTCCCGAGAAATTTGTTAACATTACTATACATCAGATAATACACTGTCACCACAACTTGGGGTGGAAGATTGATCACATTGATGGGATGACTGCTCTAGTATCTCCGAGCAGATAGCTTCTGCAGAATGATGCAATCTCCTTCGAGTTCTAGTTTCTGCACTGTCATGGCTGCAGGCATCAATTAGCCTTATGAGACAGAAAATGCACCATCAAATGGAACTTCCTCCTAAATCTCATATACCCACCCTAGGTGCCATGCCAAGCAACAGTTACTCAGTTCAAGAGAGAACATGTTAAATTGCTTTTTTTGAGTTATACAAGAAAGAGTAATAAGAACAAGAAAAGTAGAAGGCGTGCTGTTTCACCAAAAGGGTGATTTGGTGACAAAAAAATATTGAACTTTGCGGCACCAAAACACAATTAGCTTAAAAGTTTTGAAACCCAGCATGGCTGCAAGCATCAGTTTACGTATGAGACACGGAAGAAATACCAAAAAATGGAACTTTTTCCATAATCTCAAAGACCCACGAGGGATGCCATGCGCAAGTAGCAGTTTTTTAGTCCAAGAGAGAACATGTTGATAGCCATTATGAGTTATACCAGAGAGAGTATTAAAAATAAGAGAAGTGGAAGGTCATATGTATTTCACCAAAAGCATCGAAACCCATCGTGGCTGCATGCATCAGTTAGCCTTATGAGATGGAGAAAAAACGCCATGAAATGGAAATATAATTCCAAAATCTCACAGACCCACCTGAGGTGCAATGCTAAGCAACAATTTAATCAGTTCGAGAGAAAACAAGTCTCTTATTGAACTTCCACAGAAGACAAAACCTCCACATCTTTATGATGGATCATCTTTGAAAGTGATGAAGATATAAAGTTTAAGAAAGTATCATCAGAAATAAACAAAATAGCCTTGAAAATGAATAATTGTGCAATAAAGATATCCATTAATTGACCGACTTGAACTTTCTATCTGACTGAGGAATCTGACACAGGGATCACGCTTTTCAGAAGCACTTTCCCACAGAATATTCTGCAAAGATCCAATCTCTCTCCTGACAGTGCACTCCCCAGTGTAGCTTTCCAACTCTGGGCTCTGTGCCTATTTTTTTTTATCTCACAATTCACAGGTATATCTGAATGGAATAGCAACAGATGAGGAGGATACTTCAAAAACTATATTCTTATCTAGGTTTTCCAAAAGTAGCATGAAAGAAAAGAAAGTGATAAATGTTGATACTGCAACTGCTCTCACCTGCAGAGTTACTTTAAGTCAAGAGAATTGCGACAATATACTCAATAAGGAGAAGAACCACACCTTCCCCACCTAACCTTTTGTTTCTTTCTCATGGCGTTAAGTCAAACCACTTCTCTCTTAACCTACGTATGGTACACAGTAAAAATTCCGAGCAAGTGATGACCAGTGCTTTTAACAAATAACATGGCATTGAAGTCAGTAGATTCCTATCCAGTTCATAGCAAAATGTCGACAGAATCCGACAACGTAATCAGTTAAAACAAAATTCTGTAACACTAAAAAGTGCAACAGTTCTCAAGTTTGATCTACAGCATGGTCTGCAGTCGAAAAACTAAGAGGAACCAAACACAGTCCTCTGCTTACATTGCTCCCACTTCCTTCACTAATCAAAGAAAAATAAGAATTTTGTCAATTCCTTAGAGCCTAACCTGAAGGAGGTAAGTTGATACCTTTTGAAACAAAGGGTACATAAAAAGGTATCCTCAAAAGCTCTTGAGTCTCTAGAATAATGCAAAAGATCAACAGTGTTAGCATATTTGTTAGGTCAAAGCTGCGTTTCCAACCTCCATAGCCGAAGAATGAAGATCAACCTAAAATTTTTTGCTAGGGCTCTATTTTCTGAAAAAAAAAAGAAATTTTTCTTGTGAATCAGATGGCCCAGATGGACCTACAAGTTTCAAACTCCTGATGAGCCACCCCTCTACCCTGATCCCACTCAAAATCATATACAGCTGGACGTCACAATATCCTAAAGATAGCAAGGCTCCAAGAAGATTGATGTAACAAACATCAAGATTTACGAAAGTTGATGTAAATTTGTAAAAAAAAAAGACTGAAATTCATTTCAAGGGAAGCAGAAATGATTGGGTAAGCATAAAGCAGGAAACCACAGATATCTTTAAAGGCTCCAAAGTCAAATCATATAAAGTTTATCTAGGCAGTTTAGGTTCAACAAAGACAGTAAATATATCTGAGATTTACTTCGCTGCTCAATGTCAGAAGCACTGTCAAAACTCGTAGCTATGTTATTAAGTAATTTTTGTATTGGTCCTTTGAAAAGAAATATCAAAATAAAATCTGCATTACGAAGGTCAAGGAAAACAGAACACCGTAAAAACCAAACATCGAATTTAGTAATTGTTAACCAAAGATTAGTTTTCCGTTTTTCTTTTTCTTTAACTGAACATGCACCAAAAAATTTCTGCTCATATTCAAGTCAGGAACAAATGGCAGGAATGGTTTACCTTATTTTGACACCCCATCGCGTGTAGTTGTGCACTCCCCTGTGCAAAACAAAGATACGACATAGTAAATGTCAACCAAATATAAGTCTTCCGATTTCTTTTGCCAGAACAACATACTGAAATAAGTGGACGCGGAAATACTGAAGGACCTGCAAAGCTTAACAGGTCGTTACAGAAACAAAGTGTAGAAAAGATAACTTATCACATCCCTTATCCATTAATTTGGGCCTCTAGTTAGGACCTGAGAAGGTATCCTGAGAGTTTGAATGAACAATCACTTCAATTCAATTTGTTAAGGGAACTCAGAGGAATGCCAAACCCCACTGGACAATAGCAGCATCAGAGAAGGAGAAGCACATGTGCAAAGTATATCATCCTCACTGCATTCAAACTTACAAAATCGAAGGAACCAGAAGGAAATATCCTTAAATTAGCTGGTATAACAGAGACTGACCTTTCAATATTAACAATTTTGAAGGAGACACGGGAAGCACAAGGGAAATTCTTAGCAAAGACTATTTCAGAGAATGCAAGACCTTCATTCGTTTTCCAAATTATATATGGAAACCAAAAGATCAATCAGGACAGAGTAGAAGTAGATCAATATTTATTTGTTTGAATTGTGAGAAAACTAGAAGTACTTGGAGTGCATTTGCTTCCTTTAAACTGGTTGGTTGTAAAATACATCATGAACAATGATTACAAAGAGAAAAATCCCAAGAAATTACCTTATTAGCAAACAATAGTCAACACTTGTATCATGTAGGCTTATACATAATTACCTATTCTACCAACATCTTGTCTACAATCATCAATTCCAAGGAATAAACGCTTGTCGTCCTGTAAATATTGGCAAGAACAAAGACGGCCAAGTAAGTAGTTTCACACCTATCCTAATGGATCCTACAAACTAAAACTCAAAAGATCTTTACCTGAAATCTTACAATATCCATTTGGATTCCCATGAGTTTTAGTAACAACTGTCAACAAAGAAACGTCAGAAATAGAGCTTAGAGCCTCTCATTTAAAGCCAAAACTTGCTGGGAAAGCATGCAATTAATCTTAATGGTTGTATTTTGATGTAGCTGGTGTAAAGCAAGCATACGAAGCTAGTTAAAATGGCCAGACAGCATACACTACTCTCAAGAATAATGCAAAGATCAAAGTGTCAAAGCTGCATTTCCAATCTCCATCGCTGAGGAATGAAGATCAACCTAAATATTTTGGTAGGTTTCTACTAATTCTGAAAAACAAAATTTTTTTTATTGAATTAGATGACCGAGATTGACCTGCAAGTTTCAAACTCCTGAGAAAATGAGCCACCACTCTACCCTGACCCTACTAAAAATCAACATACAGCTGAATGTCACTATCTCGGAAAGATAGCAAGGCTCCCAAGATGATTGATGCAGCAAATATCTAGATTTACAAAAATTGATGTAGATTCGTAAAAAAAAAAAAAACTGCAAAAATTCATTTAAAGGGGAGCAGAAATGACAGGGTAATCATAAAACAGGAGTCTAAGTCATAAATGCCAACAACTATCACACCTATGTTCCACATAATTCTTTGAAGACCCCAAAGTCAAATCATATAAACTTATCTTGGGAAGTTTAGGTTCAACAAAAAACAGTGAATATATATGAGATCTACTTCGCTGTTCAATGTCAGAAAATTGTTCAAACTCGTGATCCAACTTCAGATTATCCTTTCAAAAGAAGGGACAAGTTCAGATGATCTGTCAAAAGATGGTACAACTTCAGATGATCCTTCAGAGAAAGTACACAACTTCAGGTGAGGACGTAAAATAATAAATTGAGCACGACTTTGTGCACATCAAAATGCATTAAATCAATGTCAAAGAAACTAAAACTTACTGTCGTTCTCATCCATGCGTACATAGCACAGATAGAAATTGAAAGAGACTACGTGGCCTAGGAGACTTGGAAAAAGACAATGTAATATCTAATGTTTTCATGATCAGTAATAACGCAGTCTAAGATAATCTTGAAAAGTGGGTGAAACAAATGAAGCCAATTAACTGAAACATGCACTGAAAAATTTCAGCTCTTATTCAAGTCAGGCATGAACAAATGGCAGGAACAGTTTACCTTATTTTGACTCCCCATCGTGTGTACTTGTGCACTCCCCTTTACCTTGTAATTCGTTATTTCAGATGTTAACAAGTTTTATTTTCGCACTTGGCCTGAAGAGAGAACCATCAGATCGTAAAAGTAACTAATTTATTTGATTGAGATAATATCAGAAAGAGACCTAAACCTCCCAAGAAATTTGATAACATTACAGTAAATCAGAAAATACGCCGTCACCACAACTTGGGGTGGAAGATTGCTCACATGATGGGACTGCCATGGAAGCTCCGACCAGATAGTTTCTACAGAATGATGCAGTCCCCTTACAGCTCTAGTTTCTACACGATGGAATGGAACATTAATTAGTTGCACACATTTCCTGTCATCGTTGATTATTAGGACAAACAAGCACACTACAAGACAACTTACCTGGCAAGAGTGGCACATCATTAACAGTCTTAATATTATTAATTCCTGCTTCCTTCTTGCAGACTCAATTGTGGTAAAGAACTTCTTCTTGTGCTAGAAAAATGGAAGAGTTGTATGACTTCTTATACTCTTCTTTTTCCTTATAAGCTCATCTACTTTACCTCGAGATCCAGTATCAATCCATTTATCCAAGTCCCCATCCACCCTAGAGGAGAGCATAGCTCATTGTATCAATAATTCTTAAGATTTTCTTGTCTACAATCAAAAATTCCAAGGCACAAACACATGTCATCCTGTAAATAATGGCATAGACAAAGACCATATTAGTATTTTTATACCTATATAATGGATACTAAAAGAACTTTACCTTCAAACCTTTCGATCCCATGAGTTTTAGTAACGATTTTCGACAAAGTCTCAGAGCCTCTCCTTTCAAGCCAAAGCTTGCCGGGAAAGCATGCATAACATCTGAATGGCAGCATTTTGATGTCACTGGTTTAAATGAAGTAGACGAAACAATAGTTAATTGAAATGTCTGGTGAAAAAGAAAGTACAATAAAAGATGAAAGAAACAGGCACATATGTTGTCTCCATAAGTTGGGCTAAAAGTACCTAAGCATGAATATGTATGTTCCAGCTCAACTTCAGCAAGAAGAAATAATCAAAACATGCCTACATACAGAAGTGATCAACAACTTCAAAGAAAAGAAAGCGTTGAACATCATATCTACAACAGTGCCTCTCACATACAAAGCTCTGGGTGCCAAATCTGAGAATAGATATAGTTTAGCCACTTGGTAATATCAATAGGAGAAGTCCTCCAGAACGGCTTCAGATGAAGAAACAACAATGCAGAGAGGTTGGAGGAAAGGAAGTACTTACAGTTATGCAGATTTAGAATCTTTGACTTGAAAATACGTTCTTCTTAATCACCAACACAATATTACATTACAACACTAAAAAAAACAATACTACTGAGCTGCATCACATATATTCATATACTTATTGTGTCTTGTACTTTCAGCTACTTCAACACAACTAATTGTATAACTAGATGGCAAATGTAAAGAAAAGAATAACATCATTTTACACATTACTGAAAAGACACATGGTAGCCTGAGAACATGGTCTCCAGATTATAGTAAATGTTAACCAAATCTTAAGATTAAACAGTGGTTGTTAAAGAAACAAAATTTAAAAAAGATAACTTATCACATCTCTTATCCATTAATTTGGGCCCATATACATTCATTATGTAAACATCAAGACCTGCCGTGAGCTTGAATGAACCATCTGTTGAATTCAATTTAATTCAATTTGTTAACGGAACTCAGAGGAATGAAAATCCCAGTGGACAATAGCGGCAACGGAGAGAAGGAGAAGCATGTGTGCAAAGTCGTTCATCCTCACTGCACACAAATTTAAAAAATCAAAGAAACCAGATGGGACATATCCTTAAATTAGCTAGTATAACAGAGACAGACCTTTCAATGTCAACAATTTTGAAGGAGACAGTGGGACGCACAAGGTAGATTCTTAGCAGAGACTCTTTCAGAGAATGCAAAACCCTCATTGGGCTTCCGGAGTACATATGCAAACCAACGAACACAAACCGCCAGAACGGCCTATTAGTTGAGTAATGCATGCAATCCTATGGCTACAACGACCATTCCAAGTATGTACATCGAAATCAATACAATAGAAAAGATGATGCCAGCATCAAGAACATCAGTATACTATCTTTAAAAGTTGTGTGAGTGGAGACTTCAAGAACAACTCCACAACATTCAATTCCTACGGCTGTTGAAACCAACTCCTCAACAACCCTACTGAAATCATACAAGATAAACATACTCCAAACCAAATTCTAGAACATCTACGAGAAAAACAACAGAATTTTTTGGAGAAAGAAAGTTTTCTTGAATTTCTTTATATTTGCAATGTCAATATATTCTTGAAAATAACAATTTCATTATTTCCTGTAAATATGCCTTAAGAATACAGGTGTAACTTCAAAAAGATGGATAAGTTCTTGATTTTTCGCAGGCAAGAATTCAAAGAAAATTTGACATTGTCACAAAAATATTCTCTTATCCACCAGTTGGAGAACTTTTGCACCCTCTAGGCAGGTTTTATCAATGGTATCCTGATTCTTAAGACTCTCCGTTCAAGTACCGTTCTGCATCTCATATTGGAAAAGGTAACAATCCATCATTTTAGCAGAATAGAGAAGATGCAAAAACATCTGAGATATAGTTAAAGTACTCAACTGTAATCTCTGGATGGAAGTCCATCCATTTTGTCCCAGAATCTAAGAAACCATGACTTTTTGTAGGTGCAAATTCTGAAAATTTGAATAAAAAATGTCATGCATGAGAGTTCTATTACAAGATCTGAACATAAGCAAGATGGAATATGAAAGAGACTGTGGCCTAGGAGACTTAGACATCGTAATCTCTAATGCTTTCATGATTAATAAGAATGAAGTCCAAGAGAATCTTGAAAAGTGGGTGAAAGAAATGAAGCTAATTAACTGAGAGAGAACACATCAGGTCATGTGAATTACTAACATATTTGTTTGAGATAATGTCAGAAAGAAACCTAACCCTCCCGAGAAATTTGTTAACATTACTATACATCAGACAATACATTGTCACCACAACTTGGGGTGGAAGATTGATCACATTGATGGGATGACTGCTCTAGTAGCTCCGAGCAGATAGCTTCTGCAGAATGATGCAATCTCCTTCAAGTTCTAGTTTCTGCACTGTCATGGCTGCAGGCATCAATTAGCCTTATGAGACAGAAAATGCACCAACAAATGGAACTTCCTCCTAAATCTCATATACCCACCCTAGGTGCCATGCCAAGCAACAGTTATTCAGCTCAAGAGAGAACATGTTAAATTGCTTTTTTTGAGTTATACCAGAAAGGGTAATAAGAACAAGAAAAGTAGAAGGCCGTGCAGTTTCACCAAAAGGGTGATTTGGTGACAAAAAAATATTAAACTTTGCGGCGCCAAAACAAGATTAGCTTAAAAGTTTTGAAACCCAGCATGGCTGCAAGCACCAGTTTACGTATGGGACAGAGAAGAAATACCAAAAAATGGAACTTTTCCCATAATCTCAAAGACCCACGAGGGATGCCATGCCAAGTAGCAGTTTTTCAGTCCAAGAGTTATACCAGATAGCCATTATGAGTTATGCCAGAGAGAGTAATAAAAATAAGAGAAGTGGAAGGTCATATGTAATTTCACCAAAAGCATTGAAACCCATCGTGGCTGCATGCATCAGTTAGCCTTATGAGATGGAGAAGAAACACCATGAAATGGAAATATAATTCCAAAATCTCATAGACCCGCCTGAGTGCCGTGTTAAGCAACAATTTAATCAGCTCGAGAGAAAACAAGTCTTATTGAACTTCATGGAAGACAAAACCCCTCCACATCTTTATGATGGATCATCTTTTGAAAGTGATGAAGATATAAAGATATAAAAAAATAGCCTTGAAGATGAATAAATGTGCAATAAAGATATCCATCAATTCACCGACTTGAACTTTCTATCTGACTGAGGAATATAGACTCAGGGATCACGCATTTCAGAAGCACTTCCCCACAGAATATTCTGCAAAAATCCAATCTCTCTCCTGACAGTGCACTCTCCAGTGTTGCTTTCCAACTCTAGGCCCTGCACCTCTTTATTTTAACTCACAATTCACAGGTATATCTGAAAAGAGGAGCAGGGAATGGAATAGCAACAGATGAGGAGGATACTTCAAGAACTATATTCTTATCTAGGTTTTCCAAAAGTAGCTTGAGAGAAAAGAAAGTGATAAATGTTGATACTGCAATAACTCTCACCGGCAGAGTTACTTTAAGTCTAGAGAATTGCGACAGTATACTCAATAAAGAGAAGAAACACACCTTCCCCACCTAACCTTTTTGTTTCTTTTCACTTCTCTCTTAACCTACATATGGTACACAAAGTAGAAATTCCGAGCAAGTGATGACCAGTGCTTTTAATGATTGGTAAGCATAAAGACTTCAAAACTCAATTAAAGAAAAGCAGAAATGATTGGGTAAGCATAAAGAAGGAGTCTAAGTCCTAAATGCCAACAAAAATCACACCTAAATTCCACAGAGAACATGACACTATCTTTCAGAATTTCGCTGGAAACCTTCAGGTTCATATCCCCCAGTTCTTGCTAATGTAGAATCAAAAGAAAAATGAGAGGGAATGAATAAAATAAAGGCGTTGATTGAAGGCAGTAACGTTAAAACAGGGGAGTTTATTCGGAGAACATGACACAGTATTTAAGCAAGATTCCATATGAGAAAGACAAGATTTAATCAAATGGAGGAGTGAAATATGAAAGCTAGTAGGTGTCAATGAACTAAACTGTCAAAGAAATACGCGGAACCTGTATCATCAAGAAAACAAACATTTTCTTATAAAACACATGCAAAAGAATCTTGTTAGCTACTGTGCTTTCAACAAGGAGGACAGAACTGATATGGACGGTGGTATTGATACCTCAGAATGGAATAACTAGACTGAGAAGAAGTGCTTGTCATGCTTTGTTTTCTACACATAGACAGGCATATATCCTTCAGATGGAGGAACAGGAATGCTTAAGAAAATAGGCTCTGAAGTGTAGTAAAAGGTTCTGATGAGCAATCTCTCCCAGTCGTTATGTATGCACTACATAGTGTAGCTTTATTCCCAATAATTCCTAATCCCAATTCTTATGTCCTAATAGTTGATGTCACTTCCTAATTTTGTATTAACAACTACAATCAATACTATATTACATTTCCCTTGTAAGACTGACTTGCAAATGGTTTACATGTACTCAACTTTTTGAATGAATTAAAAAATTAAACTTTGCAACGCCAAAATAATTAGCTCAAAAGCTTTGAAACCCAGCATGGCTGTGCAAGCATTAGTTGGCCTATGAGGCGGAGAAGAAAGACCAAAATGGAACTTTGCCCAAAATATCATAGACCCCCCTGTAGTGCCGTTGCATGAGTTCTTTAGCTCGACAAGCAACATGTTTAATTAACTGATCATAGAAGGATGAAAACCTCCAAATCTTCATTGTGTATAAAACAGAGCAGACTGCGCACTAAGAGTAAGAAAAGAGGGAGTGGTAAGATATCATGAAAAGGGTGATCAGGTGAGGGGGGTGGAATAAACTGAACTTTACCAAGTCAAAAAACGAAGCAGCTCAAAAGCTTAGGAACCTGCCATGGATTCAAGCATCAGATAGCCTTACGAGACAGAGAAGTAACACCATGGGATGGAACTTTCTCCAAAATTTCACAGACCCACTTGAGATGCCTTGCCAAGGCAACAGTTTTTCAGCTCAAGATAAAACTTGTTTGATTGTCATTTTGAGTTATACTGGAGAGAATAATAAAAATAAGAAAAGTAGAAGGTCATGTGCAATTCAAGCACCAAAAAATCTGCAAAAAGAATTTCAAAATATTTGAAGTTAGCACTCTCAAGATTTGAGAGTAAATTAAATGTATCGAACTTTAAAATGTTCAACAGAATTACTCTCAGCTATATATTTGAGTTTAGGCAAGATGCTGCCCCACTAAATAAAACAACCCTTCAATTGTGATAAGAAATAACACAAAGCTTCAATTACACCATCTTTATTCACCAACTTACTGTAAAAACCCAAAAAGGCCCCTTCGTAATATTTTGCATATATTATCATTCCATTGTGATGAAATGTGAAGTGTATGTGATTTCTACCCTACTTGAAATTCAGACTACTCTTATAGAGTGTCATCTAGTTAACATATTAAGAACGAGCTTTTGAAGGCAATTAAGAAAGTCAAACCCCACGACTTATGAAGTTATAAATCTTTACTATTGGGAAAGGAATAACTAATGCTACCGGATAAATAAAGGTGCCTGTTCACTTCATTAGGATTTTAAAGCAACTATTTCCACATAGAAACTAATCTAAGTGATGTGTTGACGAAACACCAACCAAAGAAACTAACTTTTGCTAGCTTTTAATAAAGAAACTAAATCTTTTTAGACAAATCAAGAAAGAAACTAAATCCTTTTAAGCTCCTACTGAAAAGCATAATAACTGCAAGCTTTTGCTAGCTTTTACTAAAGAAAATAGCATCTAAGCTCGCAAACTTCCAAGAACTTTTGAATTTAAACAAAATAGACACATAAATTTTTGTGAAGATTACTTCAATTTGAACGACTAAAGTTTATCTTTTTGGTCAGAATAATATAAGGAACTTCCTATTTCGTTATCAGAATTAGAAAATAGAAAAGTAATGCAAAACCTTTTCTGGATTCCATATATCAAATATATCATAGAGTGGCTTGAAGTATAAACAACTACATATTTGTCTTCATCTTTGAGTAAGTTGTTGGTGCAAGGGGAAATGAGATGGAAAACTAATAGAAGAAGTAAATAACATAAGTTTTTCTAAATATGACGTATAAGGAGGGGGGGGGGGATATTTAATGCACTATCTTTTCGAAATTTCATTGGCAGCCCTCGGCTTCATCTCCTCCGATTCTTGTTACTGTATAATAAAAAAAAATTAGAGGAATGGAATAAATCAAGGGGAGGCGTTAATTGGAGGAAGGGAGTAGTAAAAACAAGGGGTTAGTTAAGTGGGTTGCAGATAAATTTTTCAAAGACCATTAGCAAGATTTAAGTTGATTAAATGAAGGCATGAAATATGAAAGCTAGTTAGTGTGAATAGACTAACCTGTTGAAGCAATTCTAACAGATCCATATCAGATAGACTAACGCCCAAAATACACGGAACGTCAGAACCTGTATTATTGTCAAGAACACAACCATTTTCATATGAAACACATGCAAGAGAATCTTGTTAGCTAGTGGAGTATTTCCTAAAATATTAATGATATCATGAACAGATTTCCAAAATAAGTTGGAAGCTATTCGAGTTTCAAAGCGTCATAATTCAAAAAGAGAGACTCTCTAGCATTGTCTTTTATTGATGTATTGGAACCAAAAAATCGCTTAGAAGTAATAATTCACAATTCACTCGCTATAATCAACCCAACTAAAATATAAAATGTACCTTAAGAGTCAATGTGCACAAATGAAACTTGAAAGCCTAAACCCTCAAAATCCTTCCTCCTTTCAGCAAGGAGCACAAAACTGATATAAACTGTGGTATTGATACCTCATAATGGAATATAAAGCCTGAGACAGAGTGCTTGTCATGCTTTGTTTTGCACATTTAGAGAAGAACCACACCTTCTTTTCTTTTTTTGTGCAATAAGTCAAACCACTCCTCTCTTCTTTTTTTGAAATCAAAAGTCAAACCACTCCTCTCTTAACCTAAATATGGTAAATGAAGAAGAAATACTGAGTATAATGACCAGAGATTTTCACAAAGACATGGCATTTGAAGTCAATAGCTTCCTATCCAACTCATAGAAAAATGTCTACAGAATCAGACAATGTAATCATTGAAACAAACTTCAGTAATCCTAAAAAGTGCAAATGTTCTCAAGTTTAATCTAGAGCATGGTCTGCAGTCGAAAATTAAGAGGAACCAAACGCAGTCCTCTGCTTACATGTGCTCCAACTTCCTCCACTCATCAAAGAAAATAATCATTAATATACATTTCACTCATTCTTCAAAGAATAGAAAAGATACTAACTCAGTAACTCTAACCTAAAGGAGGTAAGTTGATACCTTTTGAAACAAAGGGTATATAAAAAAGTATCCTCGAAAGCTCTTGAGTCTCTACTCTCTTGAATAATACAAAGATTAACAGTGCCAAAGCTGCATTTCCAACCTCCATAGCTGAGGAATAAAGATCTACATAAATTTTTTGGTAGATTTCTACTTTTTCTAAAAAACAGAAATTTTTCTTTTGAATTAGATGACCAAGAAGATTAATACAGCAAATATCTAGATTTACAAAAATTGATGTAGATTCGTAAAATAAAAAAGACTGCAAATTTCATCTAAAGGGAAGCAGAAATTACTGGGTAAGCAAAAAACAGGAGACCAAGTCATAAATGCCAACAAAAATCACACCGATGTGCCACAGTTCTTTGGAGGCCCCAAAGTCAAATCATATAAAACTTATCCTGCGCAGTTTAGGTTCAACAAAAACAGTGAATATATCTGAGATCTACTTCAGCTCTCAATGTCAGAAGCACTGTCAAAAACAAGTAGCTATGATATTAAGTAATTTTTGTATAGGTTCTTAAGAAACAAATCTTGAATTGAAACCTGCATTACGAAGGTCAAGGAAAACAAAAACACCATAAAAGGAAAGCATCCAATTTAGTAAATGTTAACCAAGATTAGTTTTCCGTTTTTCTTTGACAGGACAATATACTGAAATACTGAAGGATCTGCAAATTAAACAGTGGTTGTTAAAGAAACAAAGTGTAGAAAAGATAACTTATCACATCTCTTTATCCTGAAAGCTTGCATTCAATTTGTTAAGGGAACTCGGATGAATCCCAACCATTGGACAACAGCAGCAAGGAGAAGGAGAAGCACATGAGCAAAGCAGTTCATCCTCATTGCAAGCAAACAAGACAGGAAATATCCTTGAGTTAGCCGGTGTATCAAAGGCAAACCCCTTTCAATATCAATAATTTTGAAGGAGACACTGGGATGTGCAAGGGAGATACTTTGCAGAGACTCTTACGGAAAATGCAAGACCCTATTTGGACTTCAAACTAAAAGATCAATCAGATGAGTACGGCTTTAGAAGTAAACCAGACAGGAAATATCCTCAGAGGAACTCCTACTCCACAAATCTAACTTGGAAATTTTCTCATGCAGAGCACCCAAGTTGACAAGAGGGACAGTAATTAGTCACCCATGAGCACACGAACAAACAAAAAGATGTCATTAATAATACGCAATGTTCTCCTAAACATACCATCAAATGCAGTTCCAACGCGATATTTCCTAAAATACAGTTCCAACACAGATATTTCCTAAAATGCAATTTTCAACTCACTTGAAAACACAATGAAATCTGTTCAGTGTTCAACTCCTCAACAATGAGGAACATTCGGAAGACAATAATGCATCAGCATACATAATTGCACTTAGGAAAATATATAAATAACTGGAATGACAATATCAAGAATCAATCCATCAATTATGCTTCACCAAAATTAGTTAGCCTTCCACTCTATCCATATCGGAGTTATTAGGGTACTGTTGATGATCCGTCTGTGTCAGCAAGCTGTCGGTTGCAAAGACATTATTCCGAGAACATGCCATGGCATTTAAACAAAAACTTAAGCAAGATTCGATAAGAAAGATTTGGAGTTAAATGAAGGAGTGAAGTGTGAGAGCTAGTTAGTGTTGATGGACTAACCCGTTGAATATCTTCTAACAAATCCACATCAGTTAGCTTAACGTACAAAATACAAGAAACCTGTATTATCAAGAAAACAATTATATCTTATGAAACACATGCAAGAGAATCTTGTTAGCTAGTGGTGTATTTCCTAAAACATGAACGATGTCATGAGTGTTTTCCAAATAAGTTGGAAGCTATTCAAGCTTCAAGGCCCTATAATTCAAAAAGAGAACTTCTAGCATTGTCTAGTTATTGATGGTACTAGGGGAAAAAATCCCTTAGAAGTAATAATTCATAATTCACTCACTACAATCAACCCAATTACAGCATAAAATGGAACTTAAGAGACAATGTGCACAAATGACACTTGAAAGCCTTAAACCCTCAAAAATCCTTCTTGCTTTCAACAAGATGGTGCACAGAACTGATATAAACTGTGCTATTGATACCTCAGAATGGAACAACTAGCCTGAGAAGAAGTGATTGCCATGCTTTGTTTTCCACACTTAAGAGGCAGGAAAAGGAATGCTAAAGAAAATAACCTTTTTAAGTGTAGTAAAAGGTTCCAGAATGTAGGCTCTTCCAGCCCTTGTGTATTTACGACACAGTGTAGCATTATTCCCAGTCATTTCTAAGCCCAATTCTTATGTCCTATTAGTTGATGTCACTTCCTAATCCTGTATTAACAACAATAATAAATACTAGATTACCTTTCCTGTTTAAGACTGATTTCCAAATGGTTTACATGTACTTAACATTGTGAATGTATAATATGACAGCGACAAGTATTAGAGAATGTTACCGCAAGAAATGAGACAGATGTTGGTTGCTTGTGAATCAGATTTAAGTTCCCACTTTATCCAAATCATATAACTTCATGCTAGAGTTAGGTTCAACTTCAATGAATGTTGCAAAATTTAATGGAATGGAATTTCAGGTAAATGACAATTTTATCAAGTTCCATAGACTAGTTTTGATGAAAATCAAATTTAATAACCGTAACTTACCTGGTAAATGATCTTGAAGCTAGAGAATGAATATTGCAGATCCAACCCCAGTTTTGAATTTGGTCAGCATAGTTGTGTAATATCGGTAACCAGTTTCAGGCATGGTCGACAAAAGCATGGTAAAAGACTCAAAATCAATGTAACCTATTAAAGAGTTTCAAGTCTTCCCCCCCATAAGACAAGCAGCACAAGGAAAATCTATTTCAAATTAGATGACCATAAACGTACTGATTCTTGCTCGAAATCAAGATAAGTTGTTGTCCTCTTTTGTCCAGATAGGACCTGATAATTCACTAAGTTAACACTCCACATTGAAACGATACATCAATGAGTTTTTAGACAGTCATTACCTTCTCAAGCAGTTCTTCAAAATGAATTCACTCATCTGCAGCATGTTGTAGAACATGACAATAAGTGTAATGTTCAACTCACATAAATGCTAGAATCAAACAAAAGATAATAATCATCGACTATGTAAAGAAGGATTCACATTTATTTTGTCATGAGCCGCTGTTTCTACATAAGATTATACACTACCAGACGATCACAAAGTGATGGAACAAAAGATAAAGCACGCTACGACACTCTCTATTTCTTCAGAAATATCACAAAATAGCAAAAAAAAGAGTAAGACATTATTTGGTTAAAGTATTAGTCATGCAGGGAATGTTTATGCGGTGATAAATAATGTAAAAACTGCTATGTGATAAATAACAATGTAAGGATCCTAATGCGGGGAATAATAAACGAGTTATGCTAGCAGGGACTATCTACTACAAAATCGGACCATAAGAGACACTGAGCCACAAATGACACTTGAAAGGTTTAAACCATCAAAAATCCTCCTTTTTTAAAAAAATGGTAACAAGATGCAGCACAGAATTGATATAAACTGTTATTGATACCTCAGAATGGAATGAGAAGCCTGAGAAGGAGTGCTTGTCAGGAGTTGTTTTCCACATTTAGACTGGCATATATCCTTCAGAGGAAGGAATATGAATGTTGAAGAGAATAAGCTACAAAGTGTCGTAAAAGGTTTGAGAATGTAAGTGAGCAACTAATCCTGTATTAACAACTTCAACACCTTTCACATCTAAGACTGATTTGCAAAAAATTTACATGTATTTAACTTCTTGAGTGTATCATATGACTGAGACAAGTACTATAGAATTTTACCGCATGAAGTGGGACAGATGTCAGTAACTTGTGAATCAGAATCAAGTCCTGCTTTAACCAAACCAAAACATATTAAATTCATGCTCATAGCTAGATTTAACAATAGCGTACTCAGGATAGGGTGGCCGAGGAGACAGTCTCGACTAAAAGATGGTAGCCAGAACCATATTTTTCAGCAATCTGTTTAAAGAAATCCATAAGATGATCAAATCAGGCTTCTTTGCAGAAGAACAGCTCCACATAAATGATTTCAATCTCACATGCATCACATCTGAATCTTATGAAGTTCAAGAGACTCCCTAAATGAGGCATCCTCTGTTGATCTGCCAGCTACAATTGTTTAAGACTCGTCCCATCCAAAACCGAGCTAGCTGAAGCACTGAATTTGTTATCCAGGAAATCATCCTCTGTAGGTAAAACATTAGATGTAAGGGGGTGCGCAGAGTTTCTGGATTTTCATTCTCCAAACAATGTGGGACTCTAACCCACTGCAAAAGTAATCCAAAACCAGAGTAAAAACTGGTTAGAAGCACTTCTAAGTAATCCAGATATAGATGCTACTCCTTATTTATCAACTCAATGTCAACGAGACAGCATATCATAAGATTTCAAAAATAGCAGGTAGCCTTGCACATAATTACATGTTGTACCAAACATTTTGTCTACAATCATCATTTCCAAGGTACAAACACTTGTCGTCCTGTAAACAATGCGAATAAAAGAGACCAAGTTAGTAGGTTTATACCTATTCTAATGGATACTACCAACTAAAACTCAAAAGTACTTTACCTTCAAATGTCATCCTGTAAACAGTGCCAAGAACAAAGACCAAGTTAGTAGGGTTTATACCTATTCTAAAGATACTACCAACTACAACTCTAAAAAAATTTACCTTCAAAACCTTACGATATCCATTCGGCCTCCCGTGAGTTTTAGTAACAACTACCAAATTTAGAATCTTTGACTTGAAAATATGTTCTTCTTGATCCAAGACGCCTGCTACCCATAGTGCTTTTGAACCCTGGGAACATGGTCTACAGATTATAGTAAATTTTAACCAAATCTGAAGATTAAGAAGCAGTTGTCAAAGAAAGAAAGTGTAAAAAAAAAATAACTTATCACATCTCTTATCCATCGATTTGGGCATGTACACATTCACTATGTAAACATCAAGACCTGATATGTATACAGAGTGCTTGAATAAACCATTGTTAAATTTAATTTGTTAAGGGAACTCAGAGGAATGCAAATCCCACTAGACAATAGCGGCAACGGAGAAGGAGAAGCACGTGTACAAAGTAGGTCATCCTCACTGCAAACAATCTTACAAAATCTAAGAAACCAGATAGGACATATCCTTAAGTTAGCTAGTATAACAGAGACAGACCTTTCAATGTCAACAATTTTGAAGGAGACACTGGAATGCACAAGGGAGATTCTTAGTAGACTCTTTCAGCGAATGCAAAACCCTCAACCCTCAATGGGCTTCCAGATTATATATGCAAACAAAAGACCAATCAGAACATAGTATAACCACAAAATTATATCGGAAGACACTAATGAACAAAAACCGCCAAACAGCGTAATGCATGCAATCCTGTACACTACACAACCATTCCAAGTTATGAACATCATAATTGTTGGCCAAAAGAAATTATGTACAGCAGCATGAATACAATAGAAAGATGATGTCAGCATCAAGAACATCAATACACTATGTGTGAGTGGAGACTTCAAGAACAATTCCACTTCTTTCCATTCAATTACTCAACAACCCTGGTGAAAACTAACACCCCAACAACCCTTGTGAAAAATCAGGCACATGCATTTGCTTAATGTCCCCCATATCCCTTAAGAAAAAAGTAAAAACAAATTCTTGAACATCTTTAACACACACTACAAAAATAACAACAGAAATTTTTGGAAAAAGAAAAGATTTCTTGAATTTCTTGATATTTCCAATGTCCATATATTCTTAAAAATAACGATTTCGTTAATTTCCTTCAACTATTTATTAAAGAATACGGGTGTAAAACTTCAAAAACACAATACGTTCTTGATTTTTTCTTAAAAAGAAAATCTGACATTGTGACAGAACACTTAATGGATGGAAAAAAGCATCGATGCGAGAAACTTAAGTTAGGTTAACGGTAGCGTAATGGTGGAGTACCGATGTCGTACCGGTGTTTTGATTCGTCGCCGGTAGCGTACCGGGCGTACTCTGCGCCGGCGTATGAAGGCACTGTTGGAAGTTCTAAAACGCGCCTGTAGCATCTATTTAAAGTTTTCTAAGACACGCTTTTAAAAAATGCACGCGGAAAAAAATAATAATAATAATTAATAACTTATTTATTATTTTAATAAAAAGTCTACCCATCGATAGTAAAAGGAAATCAATCAAGAGTTTATATGATTAAAAAAAATTATTGTAGCTGATATATATATATATATATATTACCGATAGAAATTTATTCTTCAAAATTTTAATCTTAAAATTGTAGTCAAATTATATATCTATCTCCAATTTCATTTTAAATTTTAAAATAATAATATTGCTTTATTTAAATTGAACTAGTAAAATAGTGCACGCTGAAGCAATTTGAATATTATTGATATATTTGAGTATTAAAAACATTTGAAATGCTAAATTAACTTTTTGATTTAAAAATTATTTACTCCTCGTGATATTATTGATGATGTGAAATTTGTTATATTATCATCGCGTGTAAGTTTAAAATATTTTACTTATGTAATTTTTATAAATCAATTTAGAATATGAAATTTATGGTTCAAAATTTTAATAAAGTTATAAAATTTTATGTTAATGTTTTATACTTATTAAATATATATCTTAAAATTAAATACATATCAAATTTAGGTTAACATAATTTTATTTCAAATTTATCATCAAAATGCACATTTGTCAATATTTCTTCTTGATCTTAATTAGAAATACAATTTTGACTTATATATAGCTTGAAATTTTTGTGCTCAAATTTATGAACAATGATCTAAAAAGAGATTAGTACACTAGTAAAGGGGATTTATAATTAATAAATCGGATGGAAAACATAGTTTTACGTTAATTTATAAATTATTTATTTTGAATCAAAATTTAATGGAAAAAAAATTATGGTTGGCCCTTTTTTGGACACGTTTTAAAATGATTCTCTTTTTATTGCTCTTGTTAATTTGTGGATTTTAAAGATAATTTTTAACAAACTGAAAATTTTTATCAAACGCAATTAGATTAATCTATAAAAGTTTGTAGATGTTAAACTGTAATTTAGTGTGTTATCAATTATATTTGCAAAAATAAAATAAATTAGTAATAGGGAAAATTTGTTGCTCTTATTACTCAACTTCTTCACTGCTTTCATTACTCCTTCCTTGTAATTTTGATAGGACTAAAAAAAATTTTGAAGTACAAATAAATTATATGTTTGTAGAAATATTGAGAAAACCCAAAAAATAAAAAATAAAATCCCAAAAAACACAAGGTTAAAAAAACCCAAATTTTAATGATTTGATTTAGTTTATAAATTTAAAAATTCGACACAAATAATTTAATTTGATATTTAAAAAATCCAAATTACATCCTTTTAACTCCAATTATTAAGTTTTGTAGTGTTTATTTACTAGTTTCTTAGATTCAAAATTTATTAATTTTACTCATTTAATGAATAACATGCGAAACTAATTGGAAACTAAACTACTAGCTATGTTTTAAATGTATTACAGTGCATGATCATTCGTTCATTACAATTAAAAACTTAAAAATTAAGATATTTCTCCGTTTCATATTACATAAATATCTTATTATAAAAATCTCTATGGATTTATTTCTTTTGATTATGAGCCAAAACTTCGAAAATTGAACACTCAAGCTCAGGACTTAATTATCTGCTAATATATACATATTAAAGTTGTGAAGTTGTGATTATCTCACTTGTTTGACAAACCATGCTTTTATTTTTGACTCATTTAGTTTTAGTTTGCAAAATAAATAAATGAAACGATCTATGTATATATAAATGAGGATCTTTGTTCCGCCCATGTAGCATGCCTTAATGATCAGAAAAATATAATTTTTTAAAATTCTTTTTAGGGCTTTTAAAATTTTTTTACACAATGATATTACATTGCTATTAATAAGTTACTTAATGAGCATTACACCTCCTAACCTTTTATTTCACATTTTAACCTTCAAATTATTTAATATAAAAAATTATAACTCCTAAATATTACACCTATAAAAACCCACTTTGAGACATGTATGATGGTCATTTTATTTTTATTTTCCTTATTCTTCATTTTTTGTTTCTTTGATTTGTTAATTTTTTTGTCTTTATTTGATCTGATTTTTGCAGGAGAGGTTTATATAATGATAAATGTTTGATATTTTGCATAGTTAAACTTTGTGACATAAAATAATTTGACATGTCTGATTATCATTATCACTTTTGTTCTATTGTAAAATTATACATTGATATTATTAGTTTGGATTGTTGATGATACAAATCATGATTTTTTTATAGAAAAAATAATTTGTTCATTTTCTCTTTTGCTTCTCTTTAGATTTTTTTGAGATTTTTTTTCTTATTCTTATAATTTCTAATGACACTGGTTGTTTTTATTCACTTTGTAAAGTTTAAATAATTGAATTATGTTATGTTGAGAACATGATTCTTCTTTCCTCTTCAAATCATATAAAACTAAATATTTTTAATATTTTTGCTTGATTAGTTGACTAGAATTTTATGTCTTTTTGTAGTTATTATTGTAAGGATTGTTTATAGTTCTCCGGTTAAACCTCCAATGCAAAAGAGTTGGTTGGTTCCTTATCAACTTAATTAGTTAATTGAAGAAACGCCACTGTATCTTATTTTTAATTTCGTCTAACAATATCTTCCTCCTCACTAGCTGTCAAAATGTTATACAAATATATAATAAATATCAGTAATACAAATAGCAATATCACATCTCAATATAAAGTAAATAAAATACGAAATATTAAATACAAACATGTTATATAGCTAAGAATCAAATAAATCGATTCCTCTTACAATTTCTTATCTCACAATTACATAACAATGATACGGTAAAAATAAATAATTTTAACGTTGCATTATTTATTATATTATTTATATATGGAAATTATTTATAGGTCAAAAAGTTGTTTCACAATTTTTAGAATTTAATCAACAAAAAGTTAACCATTTTTTAATTTCACTTTAAAATATCCGTAGGATTACTTTTTTTTGACGATTTTAATTTTTTTCTATTCCTTTTGATTAACTTTTTAATTCCATGTCTCTTTTTAAATTTGTTTTTAATTAATTTTTTATTAAATAAATTTATCTCCTATAATATAAAATAAGATAAAAAGTATATATGGTTCAAAATAATAGTAATTACTAAAAATAATATTTATTAGTAGAAGCATATTTAAAAACTTTTAATTAATTTGAAATTTCTAAAACGAGGTAAAAGAAATGTTATATAATAAAATTAAACCATAAAAATGGTGGAGGATTTTACTTAAACATGTTTTTGTTTATTAAGAAAATATGTAACTTTTTTTTTAACTTTTTCTCTTATTTTTTATATATTTATTTTAAATTAATTTTTACCATAAACTCACACTTCTTCATCTTTCATAGCCTCTATACTTAATCAATACTTATTAGTAATACCTATAACTTCCAACTTTATACCTTCATAACCCTCAATTACTTATGTTTAAATTTGTGACATCTTAAAGCACATCAAATATTTATGACCAAATATATTTGTGTTTAGCTTAATTGTCCTCTACTTTAATCTTGTTATGTCAAACTTATCGACAAAGACTATCGTGTAATTATCTACTTTAATCTTGTTATGTCAGACCACCAGGCTTAAGATGCTCTGCCTTAACCTGCTGACAATTAGGACACTTAGCCACATAGTCTGCAATCCTTCTTCATGCCATCCCACCAATAAATCTGCTTAAGATCATGATACATTTTTGTGGAACCTGGATGTATGGAATATCTGGAACCATGGGCCTCTGTAACAATCTTGGTCCGTAAATCATCTACATCTGGTACGCACAACCGGTTCTGGTATCTAAGTATGCCATCATCTCCCAAAGCAAAAGACTCATTCATTTTTAACAACACTGAGTCCTTCATCTCCATCAACACAGGATCGAGATGCTGACCCTTCTTGACTTCCACTATCAGGGATGATTCAGAACTAGGGTGAACTGAAACACCTCCACTAGTAGAGTCAACCAACCGTACACCCAGCCTGGCCAGTCTGTGTACCTCTTTCACTAGCTCCTTCTTCTCATCCTCAACGTGGGCTGTACTCCCCATGCTCATCCTGCTCAAAGCATCAGCCACAACATTAGCCTTACCTGGATGATAGTGCACATTCATGTCATAATCCTTCAGCAGCTCCAACCATCTGCGTTGCCGTAGATTCAGCTCTCTCTGCGTGAACACGTACTGGAGACTCTTATGATCCGTGAACACATCCACGTGTACTCCATATAGATAATGCCTCCATAACTTCAACGCAAACACCACAGCTGCCAACTCCAAGTCATGAGTGGGATAATTCTTTTCATGAACCTTGAGCTGTCTGGAAGCATAAGCTATCACCTTACCAGCCTGCATAAGAACACATCCCAAACCGACCCTAGATGCATCGCAATAGACAGTGTAATTCTCGCCACTCTTAGGCAGAGTAAGTACCGGGGCTGAAGTGAGTCTGTCCTTGAGCTCCTGGAAACTCTTCTCACAAGTATCCGTCCATTCAAACTTGGATTTCTTCTTTGTCAAGGTTGTAAGTGGGGCAGCAATGGAAGAAAATCCTTCCACGAACCTGCGGTAGTAACCAGCCAATCCCAGAAAGCTACGGATATCGGTGGGTGTAAGAGGCTTTGGCCATTTCTTAACTGCTTCAGTCTTTCTGGGGTCCACTTCTACACCTTGATCGGACACAACATGGCCCAGGAAGGTCACTGATCTCAGCCAGAATTCACACTTGCTGAATTTGGCATACAACTGATGCTGTCTAAGTACCTGCAAGGTTAGTCTCAAATGCTGTTCATGCTCTTCCTTGGTCTTAGAGTAGATGAGAATGTCATCAATGAATACTATGACGAAAGAGTCAAGGTATTCACGGAAAACTCTGTTCATGAGGTCCATAAATGCAGCAGGTGCATTCGTGAGACCGAATGACATAACCAAGAACTCATAATGACCATAACGGGTACGAAAAGCTGTTTTTGGGACATC